CATTTCTGTTAGAGGCTGAGTCGACCCCAGAGCCATAGTGCGGCTGGATTAGGTAAATTGAAAAATGCAATGACCTCATCGGGAATCGAACCCGCGACCTTCCGGCTTGTAGAGTAGAGCCTCAACCAACTATGCTACCGCGTGCCTCCGTTACTATGGTATAGTAATTCCGAAAATGTAATTGCTAATACAAATTATGTAATATTTACTTAGTTGTTGCAGAATTCCCTTTGTCATTTTTAAAATTCTGTAATGCAAAGAAATAAGCTAATTTATGTGCATGTCTAATGCTGCGATGTATCGCGCTTTTAATTTAATTAATTTGGGGAAGTTGTATAATTTTCTATTACCTAATTTTTAATATATTTACCTGATTGAAATCCAGTAAAATATTTTACATAAATTGATTGTTATTCCCAACTAATCATTACTATTGTTTCTGCTGAAAATTAATTTCTGTGTAGTCAAATTTCATGACGTAAATTGTTAAAAGCCATTTAAATTGCCTAATGCGTAACAAACAACTACAAAGAATTTGAAATATGCAGATGTTATTCAGTGTTCTGAATGTTGCACGCCAGTAAAATCGTTTCAGAACAAAAATTGAAAAGAAATTGAACAAGAATAAGAGGAACTCATATACACAGAATTTCAGGTTCGTATCAGACATTAAGTTTTATATGAAATCTGACGTTCTCACGAATGCCTTCTATGATGCGATGACATGTATTTTGCACGAAAATATATAATTATTGTGATCCTGGGCCCCACCTTGTCTCCGTTCATATTATATAAGTAACATTTAAAGTTGTCCCTGTGCTTAACGAATTAAGAACTCCGCCATGAAGTGGATGTATAGATTAATATGTTCTAGATCTAGGTACTAGATAGAGGTGAATGGTCAAGCTTCACGCCCCATTTCGCTTTACATCCGGGGAAAGAGCCGATGGTACCCATTGGATAGGAGGCTGTGGGGGCCCCAGGACCGGTTTGGAAGACGTGGAGAAGAAAAAGCCTTACCTCCACCGGAACTCTCACTTCTAGGTCGTAGCCATTAACTAAACCGACTGCACACCTAGTAAAGTTAGAAAGTATTGTCTCATAGTTTTACGAAATAGACCTACTTCAAAGTAGAACGCTAACCAAAATATAGCCCCTACTTCAGCAGTATAAACATCTGTCAGTTGGCCCATCTCGTGGGAGAATTGGCTCAGATTCGTGACAGCAAATGGCCCTTCCGTCTCCCGTAAGATATTTTTGCTATCCTGGGGTTTTATTTTTACTCATCATTCATAGATGGCAGGCATAGACACTTTTTGAGTCATTTAGATAGCTTCTGACCCTATGTTTAGCACGAACGAATAGTTTATGTTTATATCGTCTTTCTTTTGCAAGCAATGGGGTGTTGAAATAACCAATGTCCATATATAAAAGGCCACTCTGGACGCATTCATAAGCTATTCAAATGCTCACAAAAGGAGTCAATGCTATTTATGAAATTAATCGTTGTTTATTGCGGGAAAAATACGGAACACGTAAATTCAATCAGTGGGTGAAATGTAGAGCTTTTAAATAACAAAACAGATGGTATATATAGCTACCAGTGTGCATTAAAGGGTTAAGCAATTGCACTTGTATTCTGGCTTGCTGTAGAGGTAACTTGCTGACTGTTGCAGGCACAATGGTGGGACTGGTTCCATCTCTGTGTGGATGAGTGCTCTGCTGGGAGGCCTATCCATGCTGGCAAAGGAGACTGGTATCACCGTAATGCTGGTCAATCTGACCTATGACCTCTACAGATCTTGGCACTTCATCAAAAGGTCAGTAAGTGTGACGTCGTGAATGTTGGTTACCTTACAAGTCTTTCCAAAGTTCCTTTATTCAGTAGGTGTCAGAAGTCGAGCTAAAGTTTGATGACAGTGGCGTGGAGACAGCGTAGCAGCAGCAGTAGTAGTAGCAGTAGCAGTAGTAGTAGTAGTACATTACTACTACTAGAGTCCCTGTGCTTAATTAAGCACTACCCTGTGAAGACCTGTAGTATAATGAAAGTATAGCTCCACCATTCTTGGCCTCGCCACTGGATGGAGGTGAGTGCCAGCTTCACGCCCTGGCCTCTGTACCCCAGGAGCAAGAGCCCCCGATACCCTTTGAGAGGATACTGGATGGACTCCAGAACCGGTCTGGATGCTGTGGAGAGGAGAAAAATAATACCTCTGCTGGGAATCAAACCCCTGTCTTTCAGCCAGTAGCCTTTCGCTATATCGACTGTTAGTTATGTACTTTCTCAAGAGCCCAGAGGCCAATTATAAAAGAAGTATGAGCAAGGAGACAAACAAAACACACACACAAACGGAAAACAAAACAATGCAACTTGAATTATTTAGAGTCTAAATTTTAGCCAGAAATCATTTGATTAGTACAGTCATGCCAACAATGATGAGATGACAAGAAATATATATGTATATATACATATATTAATTTTGAATTCAGTTAATATTATAATAATTAAGTTAAATATTGTGATAATCGTCAGAGAAGACACAATGTTAATGTCTAAAGGTAATGTACGTAGTTCAGTGTCAATATTTCCTTTTAGGTGGATATCTGTAGGACCGACCGATCACAGTGGCCGCGCGGTCAAAGGCACCGGAATCGTGGTTTCGAACCCCACTCGAGGCACAGATGTCTGTCTTCGTTTATTCTGTGTGTTGTTGTATCCGGTGTAGGTAACGGCCTTGTGACAGGCTGATCCCCCGTCCAAGGAGTCCTACCGACTGTCTATAAAATTCACAATTTCAAAATAAATTAATTCTGAATGTGATAAGACGAGAGAGCCTAATCCTTCAAGGTAGATGAATGCGACCTGCAGCACCGTACGTAATCCCACCCCCGCACTTCCTCACAGGACATATATGGAGTGCAGGACTCAGTTTTCCTGAGACGAATACTAGAAGCCCTTCAGTTTATGTAACGAGATTTACGGGAATCAGTATTTTCTTTATCTGAGCATATCTTCATAACATCTACCTCTTCCCAAACCCGTTCTTCTCATTCGTTGCATTGACTTTTGTCTATAATCTCTCTCTGTCTGCCATTGCTACATCTGCAGCTTTCCTAAAGCTGCCTCTTTGTCCCTCTTCTGCAAAGGAATTTCCAGCTCATTACTATTTTCAATAATCTTTCTTCATGAATCTTTTGTATTTATCCATTTCCCCCAATGATTTCTCTTCGATTTCATAAGCCATTGTACTTCAAACATCCACAATTTCCTTACTTCCACATTAATGACTTTATTTTTCCTCAGGTTACCGGGCGACCATCTGCTGCAGCGCGTTTTCTTGCGTTCCTTTCTATGTTGCCAAACTTCCGACCCGTTATTACGATTTCCACTTTGTTGTATTACAGTTCTTAGCCTTTTGAAAGCTTTTTATATTTGTTTTTCCGTTTCTTTCTTCAATGCTTCTTGTCTCTTTCTTACTTTCTAAACGAAATGCACGGAACTCTCTCTTCTGTAACGGAAAATATAAATTTCCCACAATTCAAATAGTCACTGCATGCTGTATACCTAACTCCAGTATTCGAAGTTTCATGTAAAAAGTACAGACATCAAAATATATAAAAGTAATATTGTCCTTTGGCTCAATTAAGCACCACTTTATATGACACAAACTCCGTCCTAAGTGAAACAATTTATTGTAGTTCTTTCGTCTTCCTTTCTTCTACACTACATGTTTCGGCCGTAAATGGCCATCATCAGGTGTATACTCTCACGTAGCTGCTACACTGCACGTAGTTTACAATTTAAAAAACACTAGTCTTCCCAATTGTTCATTTCGCCGTTGCTAACAGGTTTCGATATATCAGAATCTTCCCCGCTGATATCTGTCAGTTATGTATAAATCTTTATTAACCTACACACGCCAATTTGATTTTCATAAACTGGCACTTTTAAAATCTTCAATTCCAATTTTAAAAAATTTCTTTAAAATTTTTTTCGAATTTTTAAATATAAAATTCTCAGGGTTACCCGCCCTATGTCTATAGTGCTATGTGTAGAGTGTAACAGGATGCTTAAATATAATATTGTAAACACCACTTGTTTGAAGACGCATGCGAAATGGATGTTTGGATGTACGACGTCTTAACCTCGGAACTACCACCGAGCAAGATGCCGCTTGTACCCACCGGTTAGGTAGCTGAATATAGCCCATTGGCAGTCAGAACGTGGCTGTGTGGACAGAATTATCTATTCCTGCCGGTAATCGAACGCCGATTACTCATTCAAACAGCCCCTAGTGTAGTCACTCTAAGACCTGTGCAGGTCAGACAACGTTTCCTCAATGTAACTGCTAAATACTTACTGTCATTTCAGAAAAATAGTATTCCCTCAAGTGTTCACATTTCCACATTTTGTGGGACATCACAGTTCATTGGTATTTTTGCAAGAGCTTACCACTTGTCTTTATTCTCAGCCAGACGAGTCCCATCCACATATTCACTCCCTTATATTTCTATTTTAATATAGTCACGTTTTGAGGGGGATTGCATGACTGACAAGGGTTTTGGATTAATGACCGGATTTATTACTACACTTCATAAACCTAACCTATGTGACACATTGTGTCTTCTCTCTCTCATGTTCGACTGTCATTTCCATAGACTCCCCTAATTCTCATCACACAGCCTCGCGGCTGCCCCAAGAGAAAACTCTCTTATGTAACAATTCCTGTGTTGTTATAGAGATGTGTTTACCTCGCCGTTGGATAGAAACGGTAATTATTCTGTTGTTGCGTGCGTGTTTATTTTCGCGGGAACCTGTTTGCCGAGTGGTTGCCTAGCAATGAACATCTACTCTGGCTCCGTCTTTCAGGCGTAATGTCACAATATTGTCCTTTCATATAAACCTAAGTCTGCCAAGTAGTGTCTTAATTTCTGGTTTTCTGAGCAGAATATTTTATACATTTCTTGTTTGTTCTGATCTACACGACCTGCCCACCTGATCCTCTTTGATTTCAGTACTGTAGAATGCAACCTCGGTAACCTGAATCACTTATGTGTTCGGAGTATCGAACCATTCGGACTACTGGGTTCCGAATAAAAATTTAAAAATTTTCAGTAAAAATATCTGTTCAAACGGTTTGTAGTTACAATTTATGCATAAACAACGACGAGAATCGGCGACTTTTGATTACACGCCGGCCTTGGGGCAAGCGGTAACCGGGCTACATCCTTCTCACCGTACAGAGAGGAAAGTCCGGTAACACATAACGGCGTGTCTCACAAGAATTCAGTTTCACTGCAAAGAGGTAAAATAATAATTAGATTCCATTTTTTGACATATTTGGAGGCACCGACTTCTGTTTTTGGTGGTACTGTAAGACAGTTCTAGTTCATGTGAGTTCGGATTGCTGAAGTACTTCTTTCGTGTAGAAAAATACTAAAACTTATGAAGCGTAGAATGCACAGAACAAAACCACCACGTCACATTTTATTAACTTCTGCGTGGTTAGAATGTAGTGTACATCTCACCGCATTTCCTTGATGTCCCGCAGCGCCTTTCCCATGTAAAGGAAAGCAGACAATGCCTCGTTGGATCTCTGTGCGTGTTATGTTTGCCGGACTTCGGCGGCCCGCTTGTATTCCTGAAGTCTGTCTTGTTAACGTAAGCAATTAAGAACTGAACTACTCAGCTCATTATCTGTTTAAAAAAAAGTAAAGCTACCACTGTAACAGGCCGTGGAGGCCCATAGTGTTGTGAGACGTCGAGGCTTCCACATTTTCTAGACAATCAAATCACAGATGGCGGTGAAGTTGTCAGCCTTACGCGCCTGCCACCCTTGACCACTTAGGAAGATTCCTGGTACTCATTTCTGTAAGTGACTGAGTCGAATCCACGGCCATAATACAGCTGCAAGGATTAGGTCAACTGAAAAATCCAAGACCTCGTCGGGAATCGAACCCGCGACCTTCCAGCCATAATGACCATAGTCATTATAAGATTATAAAACATTTAAATAAGTTCAAGTTTAGCTATAACTGCATGACGGATGCAATTTAAATGACTTAGATGATTCTTTGGAACTATCAGAGTAACGGAAATTGATTCGGCCTAATTCGGAGAGGAGCCAGAGGTGGGGCTTTTGTGAACACGGCAACAACAAACGGGATTTGAGAATTCTGCAACTTTGAAGATTCGCGTTTCAGGTACTTCGGGTAATGCCAGCTTATAGTTTAGGTGGCTACTATCTTTTCGGAGGAACATACTGCATCCATCTTCAGGGTAGAAGTGAACAAATTGTGGCAGGGCAGAGTACACTGTCATAACCTAAAGGACCACAGTTTGACTCAAAATCAGAGTTCGAATCCTTTATAACCAAATAATTCTTTGACAAGCTGAATAACTATCAGATTTACAAGCTGATATGGAATTTCTCTTCGTCCATCGGCAGACGTTTGATTTGAAGACCATATTTCGTAGTCTTTCTAAAATATTTATATTCTCAAGATAGGGACCAGTGGAAGGCTGTTGTGAACACGGTAATGAACCTTCGGGTTCCGTAAAACTTTGGGAAATTCTTAAGTAGCGGCTTTTCAAGATGGACTCAGCTTCATGCAGTTAATTTTAAGGTGCACATATGCAATTATGAGTAGTGTACATGTATTTGGCGTAATTCGGAAACGTCTTCCATCTGCAACGCACGATTTCATTTTTTTTTTTATTGTTAGTGGGGTGGGACTAAGTCCCTTGCACTGCGGCCACTTCTGGCCTATTGTACCAGCCCCAGATGATATGTGAGGGTGATTGTGGAGCAATTGGTGG